GACATTTCTTTCCAGTAGGAATTGGGCGTGTTTTTCCTCCGTGAATGCCTGAATGGGATGATTCGAACTCTTTGTTTGTTTTTAAAGGCAGCCGTCATGGCGCACTCTCTCTCTCTCCTCCGACGGCTGTAGGGTTTGGCTCCCGCATCGGCCCCGCGGGAGCAAGTTTGGGGAGTCAGGAGAGGAGCCCGCCCGGTTTCCTGGTTGGAACCTGCAGGAAGTTAGCGCCCCCCTATCTCCTAGAAAAATGAACTATCCTGGGAAATGTTGAAAAAGGCAGAATATTATTATTTCCTGGGATCAGAACTGGAGAAACGTGTTTTCAGGCAGGAAAAAAGACTCACTCTTAATACTAGCCCCCGCCTTTGTCAAGGGGCCATTAAAAAGCCTGAGTTTGGTCTACTCTACATAACAAAGGTTGGATTAACCCTCAGCAGAAACTCACCAAACGGGAACTCAACCAAGCTTGGGACTCAAAAGACACACAACCTACTAAGTTAGCTAAGACACACAGGTTACAGGTGTACATTCACAGAGTTATTATTCCTATTTATCTTTATCATTTTTACATATTTGTTTTCCCCGTAAAAGGTTAAAATATACATTCTGGTTTGCTTTGCTTACCATCCCATACACCTATTTTGTATTATCACCACCCTATTTTTTTCTTTTCTTTTCAGCCTCTCTCCCTTCTCTACTTCCTTCCTTCCTTCCTTCCTTCCTCCTCTCCTACCCTTTTCTTCTTCCCTTGCCTCTCCCCTACTCCTCTCTCCCTCTTCCTCCTCCTGCCCTCTCTCTTCCTCTTCCTTCCTTCTCTTCCCGTTCCTCTCTTCTCCTCTGCGCCACTGTAACTTTCGATGGTCGCTAAATGAAGCGTTCTAAGACAAAGACTACGTGTAGAGTTATGAAAATCATACACAAAGCGGGATTTTCTTCGGAACCATGGTTAAACCAAGTCTGGGGTCTCCCAGCAAAAACTCACAGCAAAAACACATCTCTGCAGAAGATAAATAAGAATAATAATAACTCTGTGAATGAATACCTGTAACTATATATATAAGAGAAATAAAATAAAACTTATATAACAATTCCATTATAATCCCCCTCCTCATATTTTTTGGACAAAGTGCGAGCCGGGTCAAACATCATTTCATATAGTTTTAAATCATAGCTACATTTTCTCATTCTTATCTGATGGATTTACCAAGGGAAATCTTGGCCAAGGAAGGAAGGAAGGAAAGAGATAGTAGGAAGGAAGGCATTNAGATAGAATAAATAATAGAGATAGAATAGATAAGAGAGATTATAGAGGTAGATAGTAGATAGATATAGAACAGATAGATATAGAGACATGATGGATGGAGGATAGAGATGGCGAGATATGACAGATAGATAAGCAATAGCACTTAGACTTATATACAGTTTCCAAGTGCTAAATAAAATAATGTGAACAATACGGATGGATTGAGGAGGGATATATGTCATTTTCATTGAAAAAATAATATATTTTAAATTGGAATGTTACTTTAAATTCCTTCAAGAGGAGCTACTGTTGAACAGGAAACTGTCCTGAATTAAACTTGGTTTTTAGCCTCACTAAATCCAGGCTTTAAAGAAAGGAAACAGGAGGAGAGGCCAACGCCCTGCACACAAATTACAAGCCAAACCTACAAATGGTGCTGAGGTGGGGGAAGACACTCTCCTTTATATACAAACCCCGAGGCTCCAAAACCCACCAATGGGAAGTTGTCTCAGGAAAACACATGTGGCCATTGGCCTCTTGGGTGCAAGTGCAGGCCAATGAAACGGCTGGATGAAAAAAGGCCAATAACAACACAGGGCCTGGAATGGTGCCACCAATCAGGTGTGAGCTTGGAGGGGGGAAAAGGTATAAAAGGGGGGGGGACCTGAATCAGATGTCCCAGAGAGGTGGAATCACTAGGCAGGTTTCGTGCTGGATGGGAAGAGCTGAAAGTCAGAGAAAAGTGGCAAATGGTCCTACTAGTAGTAGTATCTACTGATATTACTAGTAGTATCTACTGTATGTGGATGGAATCTACTTTATCCCTGTCATTGGCTTATGGATATATGTCCATTCAAATATGAGAAGATAGGCTCTGTCGGGGAAAGTTTCCTAATCCTAATGACATAATTCAGGATGAAAGCTAAATTAAAAGTTTCCTCAAGATGGTGTGCCCTCCTAATTAAGTCACTGGGTTGGAAACTAGGTGGCTGACTTCTAGTTCCACCTTATGGAAGATGAGTGGGTGACTTTGGGTCAATCACTAGGAGACTGGGAGTTCTAGTCCTGCCTTAGATATGAAAGAACTGGGTGACTTCAGACAATCTCTAGGAGACTGGGAGTTCTAGTCCTGCCTTAGATATGAAAGAACTGACTTCAGGTCCATCACTAGGAGACTGGAAGTTCTAGTCCTGCCTTAGATATGAAAGAACTGACTTCAGGTTCATCACTAGGAGACTGGGAGTTCTAGTCCTGCCTTAGATATGAAAGAACTGGGTGACTTCAGACAATCTCTAGGAGACTGGGAGTTCTAGTCCTGCCTTAGATATGAAAGAACTGGGTGACTTCAGACAATCTCTAGGAGACTGGGAGTTCTAGTCCTGCCTTAGATACGAAAGAACTGGGTGACTTCAGACAATCTCTAGGAGACTGGGAGTTCTAGTCCCGCCTTAGATACGAAAGAACTGGGTGACTTCAGACAATCTCTAGGAGACTGGGAGTTCTAGTCCC